CTCAGCCGCGGGGGGCAGCAGGAAGCAGAGGAGGACGCAGCAGCAGCGGCGGCTGAGGCTCTCCCAGGCCGGCGAAGCGGGCTTGCCCGGCGGAGGCAGGCCCCCCTCTTCTGTTCTCCCTTGTTGAGGAAGAAGAGGGCGGCCTGCCTCCGCCGGGCAAGCCCGCTTCACCGGCCCCAGGAGAGCCTCAGCCACCGCCGCTGCCGGGCCCCCCGTGGGCTTCCTGCTGCCCCCCGTGGCTGAGCTGGACCCTTCCCACGGGCTGCTGCTGCTGGGCAGCCCGCTTTGCCCCGTGCCCGCTGCCGCTGTCAGCTGGAGGAGGAGGGCTACCTTTGGAGGTACAGAGGCAAAGAACGAAGCATGTAGAACGCCCTTCTGTCGCTGCGCTGTTGTCGCAGCAGTAGGGTCGTGTTTTTCTTAGCGCTTCGGACACCGCGGATTTGCCTCCGCACTTATGTCGGCGCGGATAAGGGCTTCGCGGTTTTGTGGTGGAACCCTGATTGCCATGGCCTCACTTACCTCATATTCTATTTGAGATGACATGTAGCTTCTAATTCAACTAAATGTCTGATCTGAATTCTTGCATGTGCCAGAACCTACTAATTGCATTAGATCAAAAATTCCTTACTACTTTGGTGATATAGAGAATGCTACTAATGTCCAAGAATATCCTAGTCAAGGAGAAGCAACTGGAGTTGCTTTAAAGTTTGCATCATCTACTGTATTAAAGGAGTAATCATACAAAGCCATAGTTTCAACAATAGTTGCATCAGGTCTTCAAATATTTTCCTGTTTTGTGGCTTCAGCAGCACAATGTCTCTATTACTGCTCTTTGCAGCAGCATCTGTATGACAGCTACGTGTGTACTTGAGAATCCAGTATGTTAAACTGAAAGAGTTTTAGTGTCTTGATAGCCAACCTGACTCAGAGGAACATGATTGCTTTAATGGTTGTGGTCATCAGCTGGTCTTCTGGGACACCAGGGACACCAGCTGAGAACTAAGGAGGGAGAAGCTTCTGTTCCTTATGACCATCCATATGAGGTTGCTGTTGAAGATATTTCCTTTGCTATATTAGAGTATGTATGAACCCTTCCATCAACACTGGGCCCTCTTTCAGCCTCATGGTGCCAGCTAGTAGCCTTGCGACTACCATAGGAATAGAGGTCAACTTTAAAGAAAGTAACCTTTGTGCCACTATTATCCTCATGTTTCATATTTTGCCCTTACTTTCCCTTCCATTCCTTAGAAGCTCCTCTTCCATTCCAGGAAGAGGATCTAGGTTTTTAAAAGAAAAGCATTCATAAGCTGGGGAATGGGGGTGGGGATGTAACAGTAGCAAAGTTGCAAAAGAAATCTTGATTTAAAATAGTGAAGCTCTGTTAATATATACTAGACAACCCATGGCCCAATGGGTTGTCCTTTCAGTCAGAGAAATAATGACCACAGGTAGACAAAAATGCAGTGAGTGTAGGAATGACTTTCAACTTCCTACCAGCTCCCCATTGATTTGGAAAGAATTAGAAATTACTCCTTCCTCAGCTAACCCACAAAACTGCCTGGCATTTTGCAGGGTGGAGAGGAGGAATAAATGGAGTTGTGAACCACGAGGAAAATTGCACCTTTGCTCCCCATCCCAAGACCCTTTCCCTCCAGGGAGAAAAAGAACTCCTCTATCAACCATTGGTGTTACCAGCCACTTCTACCTCACCAACAGGCATCTGAGCCTTTCCCTTGCTGTCCACCATTGTTAAGACATTTCAAGCCTTGGTTCCAAAGCAGCCAATCACCAGTCCTTTGTCAGGTTTGCTTCCAGCCAATTGGTGCAGGAACCAGAGGAAGGTGGGAAAGAGGGTAGAGGTGTGGCCCTCCCATTTTCTTTGTACCATGCAACCTACAGGTTTCTGGGAAGTGTAGTCAGAAATTGCAGTGGTGTTGAAGTAGCCACGGCTTTTCCAAAGTTAATTCCCAGAGAAGTCTTGTATCTCACATTCTGTAGTTTAGCATATTTGAGTTACTTTGGTTCAATATTTTTTGCCCTGTGTTTTCCAATTTCACCAACTGAAGGTTACAGACAAACGAGTTTTACTAGTATACACATGTTCAACTGAGTAAGCAAAATTGTACACAGACAAAATATCTCATTGGAAATATGAATTTTCTGCATATAAACAAACTGGCTATACTTGGAAGGGGAAGAAAAAACATATTTTTATTTTTTTTAAAGTATGAGTTGAAAAATAATAGAAGGATGAGGAAATCTCTTTGCCCTCCCACCTTATATGTCATTTTATTGCTTTAGAATAACAGTAAAAGCACCCTGAAAGGCTCCTAAATAGGATAGGGAATTTCCTGTGGGAGACAGCCAGATACTATCCATCTGTGGCTGCAATAGTAATCCATTCCAGTAATTTATCAGTGGGTTACAACAACAATCTTGATTCTCTATGGTAGCAAATCACAGGCACTTCAGGCTCTTATCTTTCAAACTTGCTAATTTCTTTCCCCTGAAGACTCCACCCTCTCTATGCTTTCCTATCCATCTTAAACAGGATCAATAGAAACATGGCTAAATCTAGGCTGAGAAGAAGCAACTAAACTTAAAAGAGGACAATTGTTACTCAGAAGAGCTTGAATCAGTACAGTTCATTCTAAGGACTGGATAAATTCAGAATATTTTGTCTCAACTGTGAAAAGAAAGACTGAAAATATAGTGCATTTTTTTCAAAAAGGATCAAGTTTTTATTATTAATAGTACATTTTATTTATAGTGAAATTGTTGATTTGAGGTTAAAAGCAAAATGGAGCATTCCGTGCCGTACAGTATTTCTTTTCATTTTTAATTAACATTTCTGGTCTTTTTCTGCTCTGAGCTGATTTGAACTTGCAATTGAAACTTCAGCAGGACAATTAGATTTTTGTGATTACCATAGGTTTTACTGTTTTAGTCCTTTTGACCCTTATCGTAACCTTTCAAATTCAAGTGCTATGCTTTTGAGATGAATCTTATGTCATATTCTTTTACTGCAGCTCATCACACGAGGAGGCTGGAGCCTCTCATACTCTCTATGGCCATGGAGTTTGCAAATGGCCTGGATGTGAAAGTATTTGTGAAGATTTTGGACAGTTTTTAAAGTAAGTTGGTTTTTTTGAGTTTGATTATAGTTTATAAGATTACAAAAATATAAAACCAGAGTTGGTATTCAGCTGGTTCAGACCAATTCAAGTGAACTAGTAGCAGAAATTTTGAGTAGTTCAGAGAACTGGCAAATACCACCGCTGGCTGGGCCCCCCCCCCCCCCCCCCCCCCCCCCCCCCCCCCCCCCCCCCCCCCCCCCCCCTCCCTTCTTTTTTTTTTTT